ATATATATATATGTATATGTATGTATATATATATATATATGTATGTATATATATATATATGTATATATATATATATATGTATATATGTATATATACATATATATTCTTGGAAACGATTTGATGAAAAATTGGTTTTCCAGTACTTAGAACTACATTTTAAAAAAAAATCTTAGTTTGTAAAAATTAGAAAAAAGGAATCATTTGTGAAAATTATTTTGTGAAGAGTCCTTAATTTCGAAGTGTTTTTATAGTTTAATGAATACAAAATGAGTATTACTCTCTCCTTTATACAATTATACATAAAAGTATCTCTATGTTTTTCAAAGGTCTTTAAAAAAAAGGATAAAATCATACAGGACCTATATTAGAAAGGATAATTTCTATCGAGCTCTTGAATCGATAAATATAAATAATTATTTATTATATGACATACCACATAAGGTAACAAGAGGCTTTAGGTAAGTAAAAAGATATATTAATTGACATATTTAGTCATACGAAGTAAGATGGTTCACATAAGTATCAGAGTTACTTCTATCAAAATCGAACAAACATAACTCACTAAAAATGAATATATATATATATATATATGTATATATGTATATATATATATATATGTATGTATATATATATATATATATATAATATAATTCATATGTGTGAAAATTTTTCGTAAAGTATCCAAAATCTTTATAAATTTTCATATAGTATTTTTCATGAAATAACTATTTTACCGTAGCTCTCACTGTACCCAAATCTGCATGTCGCATTCATATTCGTTTAATTGTGGCTCTATGCAGATGATGATAATCCCACTGGATCTTTCTTTGTGCATAAGAGCTATAAATAAAAATTACGAGAGTCATCGTTATACCTCTTCTTCCTCGACGTAATGAGACAGGGAGATAGTGCATAGTAGATATGATAAAAACAAGGATAAATTAATTTTTTCACATGATAAGAAAAGTTTTATAAGAATTTATTAAATATATAATCTATGAAATATCTTAAGGCATCCCGACAGTTCCTCAAACATTGTGGCAAGTGCTAAGTGCTGTTCCGAACCCTACTGCCACTTTGGAGTTTCATGTGCATCTTCAACGATAATGTGGCACAAAGTCTTCTGCAAGTCTCAAATGGATAAGACTGACAAATAATGGTTCTTTTTCTCAACTTGCCTATTAGTGGGGGTACTTATGTTGGATGTCTCCTGGACATTATCTTGACTCTCAGCTTCTATCAGATCAAGTGCCTGGGCCAGGTTTCAGAGCTCAACAGAAAAACTTTCTTGTATGGAGTGGTGGTAGGGAACATGTCTTCTTCAATTCTACCACTTGAGATGTCTTTGACTTTCTTTTTCCTTTTTTTTTGAACATTTTCTTCGTTCTCTTCTTAAGTTTATCTTGAAATTTTAATAACTTCTATTATCCTGGGATGTGACAATTACTAAGTTTTCTTGTAACTTGACGAGAAAATAAAAATTATATACTCATGTTGTGAAACTTAATGTTGAGGAGTCAATACGGTTAGATTCTATCCTGAATATGCAGGGTCGCCCACATGAGGATCCGAAGATGTGGCAGAGGAACTAAGTCGGGTCGAAGAGTACCTCATCGGTCAACTCAAGGTGGGTTTTCGATTGTTGCTCCTCCTTGCCAAGAAAGATCAATGTCGGGATGGAGATTCTCGACTCAATCTCTCCAAAGTTTAATTCAGCTCGAGGTGGTATATAACTGTTTGAGGTGTGCTCCCCTTATTAGTGGGGAGGGGATTAGTTTTTATACCAATTTGTCGGAAGCTCGACCATATGAGGCTATCTATGATACCTCGGGAGGTCGACCCAAGCTTTCCGCACTACGCGAGTCGACTTGTATAGCTCCGTGCTATGCGGTACTGTCTTGCGTCATCGCAGATGACTTGGGGTAGGGCAACGTTGCCTCATACAGATCCAAGTGGCATGGGTAAGACTTCCGTCTCCCTTAGTTCCGATGTGCTTTTATCGACACGCATGCACCACGTCGGTCATGAGGTGGCTGTCGCCCGTTACCAAGCAAGTCACACCAAAATATGTCCTATCAACTCTTATGAAAACGAATCATCTCATGCAAACTATTCTACTGATTAGAACAAATGATAACTTATAAAGGATAATTATATTAAATTTAAAAATAATAAGCAGTCAATGACATAATACCTTTGTTAATAAAGCTATAAGCACAACTATCTCTGTATTAAAATTTTGGACTATTAAAGAAAGGTGGTATTATCTAAAACATTACATGTCTTTTGTAGAATGGATAATGCAAGTAAGTCAAGAGATAATGTGCTTAGTTGCATTGTAATACCATCAAATAATTTCAAGAATTATATAAGTTTTATTTTAAAGAATAATAAAATTAATATATTTTTATCAAATATACTGTTTTATAAGGTGTTGTTAGTAGAAATAGTGGTAGTTATGAAGGTGCAAATGGAACGTCTAATATATTGTTGCCTAACGAAAAAGGAAGTTTACTATTTATAATCTGCATTTACTATTTACAGTTCCTTATAATTGATTATTATTTTTAAATAATAAAAAGATTAATTTTTTATTATAATCTTAATATTATCGATTTTATTTTATTTTTCTCACATCCTCTTATTTCATTTTTCTCTTAATTGATATCCTTTTTTTTATGTCGTCCTTTTTTTAAAAAATAGAAGTAGTAAAAGAGATGAAAAAAATAAATGAAAGAATAAAATATTATATTTATTTGTAAAAAGATAGTTTTAAAACATTAAAAAATTTAAAATAGGATTATAAACAGTAAAGAAGAGTTACAGATAGTAACAGAAAAACAAAACTATATTAATTGACCTAATTACCCTTTCAGCTGCTACCCCTTTCCCATCATTAAACGCCATCCGTCGCCACTTCCGTCCCTTTTCTTCCTCCTCCGCGCCGGTGCGGACGACGGTGGCGTCGCCATGCCCCCGAGACAGGCGACCCACGACACGGCCTCCGATGCCTCCGCCACCGCCGCAACAACTTCGGAGCTGGAGCCGGGTCATTCGCCCCCGGGTGCCCCGATCCAGCTCCTCCCCCAGGACGCCCTCCACAACGTTCTCGGCCGCCTCTCCCTCCGCGAGGCCCTTGCCTGCCGCCCAGTCTGCCGCCTCTTCCGGGACGCCCTCTCATCCTTTCCCTTTCTGTCCTCTCTCCCCCCTCTCCGCCTCCTCGCCCTCCGCCACCCCCGCTCCTCGGCCAACGGCGGCGGACGCGACTCCCACGGATCCTGTCTCCAAGCGTTCGATCCCTCCCTCCGTCGCTGGATCCGCCTTCCCCTGTTTTTCCTCCCCTTCCCCTCCTCCTCCCCGGTGACCGCCTCCCCCTCCCTCCTCTACCTCTGGGTCGACGCCACCGCCGCCTCCACTGGCGACGCAAAGATCCCGAGGACCCTCGCCGTCTACAATCCCCTCTCCGGATCCCACCGCCTGCTCCCCCCGCTCGGCTCCGCCTGGTCTCGCCACGGCACCGTTCTCGCCGGCCCTGGTGGTGCTGTTCTCGTCCTCACCCAGCTGGCCGCCCTCGCGTATTCCCCCGGATCCGACCGCTGGCTCAAGTTCTCCCTCAACTTGCCTTCCAAGCCCCGGAGCCCAGTTCTGATGGCCGGGGCGATCTTCGCGCTATGCGACGTCGGCACTCCCTGGCGGAGCCTGTGGAGGCTCTTCTCCTGCCGCCTGCTCGATCTCGGTGAGTGGGCTCCGCTGAAACGGCCCGAGTGGGGGGACGTGCTCAACATCCTCAAGCGGCCGCGCCTGCTGGCTGGTGCGGGCGGTGGACGGATATTAATGATCGGAGGGCTACGGTCGTCGCTCGATGCGGATGCGCCGTGCTCGACGGTGCTGATCTTGAGGCTCGATCTACAAACGATGGAGTGGGATGAGGCTGGTAGGATGCCTTCGGAGATGTATCAGTGCTTCGGGGGTGGCGGGTTGGGCCATGTGGCGGCAGCCGGCGGGGCCAATAACAAGGTGAAGGTGTTCGGTGGGGACGGGAGGGTTTGGTTCTCGGGGAGGAGGGTCAGAGGAAAGTTGGCAATGTGGGAGGAGGACGACAAGGGTGGCTGTGGTGTGTGGAGTTGGGTTGATGGCGTTCCAGGGTGCAATGAAGGAGTATACAGGGGCTTCGTCTTTGATGCTGGTTTCAGTGCCATGCCCTGAGATACACAAACTAGTGAGGTACTTTTGCTCCAGTTTTATGTAGAACCTGTAATTATATCATAGATGACTAGGAATTATTCTCTTTTCAGATGCATTTAAAATTATATCCTTTGTGAATTTCTAGAATCGAGATCTATCTAATAGTTAATTGGAACATCAGAGGTTTGTCTTACCTGATCGTAGGTTTGTTCCAGCTGGTTTTAGGTGAAAGATCCTGGCACAACTTATTTATTCAAGCCTTCAACTTCAATCCTCTTCACGTCCCTCCATTAGGGTCTACATATATTTTTTTCCTGCTGTTTAGAGGGTCATATCACTAGGCAAACCAAGAGCGATCAGATATATTCTCTCAAAAACCACTGAGCTATTGAACAAGGCCCTGTGGATCTAGAATGTATTTCATGGAACTAATTGTTTTTTGGGGCTTATTGCTCAGAGTCGCGTAGTTTTCATTTATTATTGAGGAACTGGTTTCCGTGAAAAGTTGGGTAGCAATAGTAGGTGGGATGATGTAGATAATCTAGTTAGCCGAGTAGAAGTTTGTCAATTGCTGTGATGCTGTATTCTGCAGTCTTCTTTTTTTTTCATTCTGCAGTCAATTTCACTCAACCAAAATCCTCCTCTAAATCTAGTTGACCTTTAGCATTACTAGGATCTGCTGAGTTTGAATTGTCTCTTATTTGAATATAGTGTACGAGACACAGATAATTTAAATTGGTACTGACGTAGAGTGTTTTTTAAGGCCACATGCTTTTGCTAGACTATCTCGTGAGGTTAACTAAACAGTTGTTCTCAGTTATTGTCTAAAGGTTGGCACTCTCTCTAATAATTAGTACAGTATTTGACACTTTAGCCTGAACCTGCATCTACACGCTAGAGAATAATTTGGCCAAGCATTTTGTATGGAATTGATTTAGACCCAATTTGTACCTTGGTCTGAATCAAGACAAGTTCTTATCTGCCTTAAAAGATGGGACACAGCAGGCAATTCAGATCATTGAAATGCTTGTTTCCAACTTTTAGATTATTAGTATAGCAGTTCTCCGATTTTGAAAGGCCTCTAATGGACAGGGACTTTAAGAAGTAGTTCAGGGTTCCACAATCCTATTTTAGAAAGAAAAGGGATTTTGATGGGCTTGCAAATGATCATGACCTAAACAGTGACAAAAAATTCCTGGTTTGCAGACAAACCCACTGTCTGTGTCGTACTGACTGGCTGTATGCACAGTCCGTACCATCTATTTGCATGAGTCCATGAGGCCCCTCCGAGGTTCAATGGGTTATTCAACTTCTGAATCACGTAGGACAGCAGTCATTAACTATTATACAACTTCTTTTTCATATTTTCAGCAATATCTCTTGTATAGCTTATTACTCTCAACTAGTTTTGTAATCCTGGTTAGATTAGGAGATCAAGGCACTAATAGTCCTGTAAGTATTGGTGATTCTAAGTCCTTAAGGCTCAAACATAACTAAATGGAAGCTTTACTTTCCGTTCCCAAGATTGTTCTGGTTCTTTCTACACAATGGAAGCTCCTTTCATGTAAACTCAACTTTTTGGTATGTTCTCATGTAGGCGTGCGGTGCCAACTCCAACTTTCCTTGTTATCCACTCTTGTTTTGGATCCATTTGACATCCCTTAGGCTCCTTTCTCGATTTGAATCAAGCGAGTAATTATTTTTATTAAATCTTTAATATATCACAAGCTTCCATTGGTAAGGGTGTATATTTGAATTAGAGCTTCTTTTTGTCATGTCAAATGGATGTTCCTATGCTTTGTGGTTTGCGTTAGATCAAAGGATACTTTATTTAACTTCTTCTAGTATTGCTTCTGAAAGTGAACTGACCATATTTATTTAATTGCCTTATTTGCATCACTTAGACTTACTATAGTTTTATGCCTTTTCCTTTACAATTGATCTATTTTTCATTATCCATACTTGGACCTCTCCCTTGTACTGATTGGGCAAGTAAATACATGGATTAAATGGTTTACATATGCTATAGATGAGAGTTCCACGATGCCATAGCACTGAACTTTAGGAAGTTAGCCGAACTTGAAAGTTGCACTTAATATTCTCAGACATGCAGATATGCATCCGGTATATGATTGTATTATATGCCTAGCATAGTTAACTAGGCAGTTCCATCTTCTCTTCCTTGGTAGTTTAGTCTGCATTGTTATGGAAAGAAAAATGAAATAATAGCATCTCCGGTGGAGAGCTAAATTGATGATTCTTATTTCTCTGCAGCTTATGATTGACTTTTGAAAGTATAATTAACTTGGTATCTCCCTCCTCGAGCCTGTTTTGTACCAGTAACCAAGTATAGAGAGAACCACTTGCTGCACATAAAATCCGAGACGGCGGAGAGATAGGCCTTTGCATCAGTGCGAGCCATTGCAAGGGAGGGGTTGGTGTGAAGGTGGCTTCGCTTCGGCGTCTGTACTGCACCGTGCTTTGTGTATGAGAACATGAAACCGATGAAGGTGCGTGCTTATCGTTTTCACTGGTCTTGGCATCACATTTAGTTGACGCAACCAAGGCCTCGGTTGTCTATCAAATCTTTATTTGAGTTTATGTAGCACTCTACTACTTGATGAATGTAGTCTAGCCTATATGGCTTATCAACTGGCTTGACGAGTCCTTTTTTTTCTCGCCTATATTCGGTGCACATCCTACCAAAAATTAGGGTCATGCAGCATGCTTATCTGCTATTTTATTCAAACACGGATGGGGTTTCCTTTAAAAAGCAGGCAGCGTCCTTGATTCCACCACATCTCCAATTAGTTACTTTCTGGTGTGAGATCTCACTGACATCAAAACTCGATGCTTGTGATGGCAGAAACTTCTTTAGGGCTTTATTAAAAGGCTCGGAAAATGGTCCGGCTCTGTCAAAAGATCAAGAACGAGTTATCTGACTAATTTTCTAATGAGCTATAGGGATCGATTAATATTTTCATGTATGCAAAAGTCAATTGTATTCTTGTGTTTCTGAATCAATTTAAATCTGTATGGGATAAGAAAATAGGAGGCAAATAGAAAGGAGAAAGAAGTGCAGAAAAGGGTAATTTAAAAAAAAAAAAAACTTCAATTTTTTTTGCTTTTTCTTGCAAAGACTTTTTTTTTTAAAATATGAGATTACATCTAATCTTTTTTTCATTGCCTTCGGTTGGTCGTCCCATGCATTGCCAAGATCTTGCCAAACAACGATTGGTGAGGGCGAGGTAACTATTCATCCTCTTCGTTCAAGAGAGGTAGATCCCTCTCAGTCAGTGGGAGGGTTAGAATGTTGGACAGAGATTAGGGATAATTTTATTTTTTTTAAAATAAAGAGGGGTAATCTTATTTTTTAGAAAATAAAGAATGTTATAAGAAAGAAAATAGAAGAAAAGGAAAAATGAATATTTATAATTATTATAATATAATGGGTGGTAATGAAACATACAGTGGGCATTTGGTCTAGTGGTATGATTCTCGCTTAGGGTGCGAGAGGTCCCGAGTTCAATTCTCGGAATGCCCCTACTATTTTTATTTTCTTCTACTTTTTGCTGCACTTAACAGCGACACGTCCAAGCCGCCGACGGAATAGTCTTTACACCGCCCACGAGCGTATTAGTATTCCCCTCATCGAACTCCCCAACATGCACATGCACCATCAATCTCCTACAGCTCTTAAGGACGACGTCCCACCTTCCTTTGCTCCTTTCTTCCCATCCATGTCTGCGTCTCGCCATGGCTTGGCGCCCTGTGCCCACGGCCGGTCGAAACCCCACGTCGAGCTCTCCCCACGGTGCCCGCGCTGCGGCTCCTGCGACACCAAGTTCTGCTACTACAACAACTACAGCCTGAGCCAGCCGCGCTACTTCTGCAAGGGCTGCCGGCGTTACTGGACCATGGGCGGGTCGCTCCGCAACGTTCCCGTCGGCGGTAGCAGCCGAACGAATCGTAGAAGGATGCCTAGCAGGGTCTCCGGCGCTCCACCGGTCGCCCGTGAACCGAGCTATGGTCACCAACCGCAAAACCATGGCACCGAGGGCTCCGTTGATCTGGCAGCGTTGTATGCTACGTTCTCTAGTCGGTGTCCTCAGCTTGAGCCAGGCCTCGTCGTGCCGGGGTTGCCGGAAGACATCGACTCCGTCAGTGGCTCGATTGTCGATCACGCTGAATGCCAAGGATCGATCACGGAGCCAATCGGAGAAGGTTTCCTCGATCAAATGAACCAACAATGTCTCATCGGAGAGCTCGATCCAAACAACACGTTCGACACACTTCCGTCGCCATTGGAGATTGCCAACTACTACTCATCTGATCTCTCAAACGCTCCAGACTTTGTGAGTGAAGCCAACATGTATCCATCTCTCGACCACAATTTTCCTTCGAGTGATTGGTGCTGAAGGTGAAGACTTACAGGAAGCCCTGGTTGGAGAGTGGAAGAGCAGCGACAAAGAAACCTGTATGCATGGAAGGAAATATATGATGTGATGAAACCGAGAGTTACATGTAACGTAGTAGAAAGTAAATCCCATAAAAGTAATATGCTTATGGACAATCTCAATGAATGCAAGTCAAAATTAAGGTGCATGGTTCGGATTCATTGTCAACGTTTTGACTTCTTCAGAATGTTAGACATTGGGAAGTGGTCGATCTCTGGAACGTGGTTTTAGGCGCAACCATTGGCACTGCACAAAGGGCAATGATCCAAGAAAAAGGCTCATGATCCAACACAAAAGGCTCGATCTCGGTGTTTAATGCTATCCATAAGAGCTGTTTAAACAACATAATTTTAAGCATGAAGAATTATCCACTAAACTTTGGTTCCCGAGAACATTAAGAATTAGGATAGCCTAAAATAGTTATACTATTTGATAAGTAATATACAGTTAATTATCAACTGACACCTAATACGTAATCATCACATGGTACCTATAGAGAAAGGAGAGAAGATATAGGTGATCCCTTCACTTATAATGAAACATTCTCACATATAATCATGCTGAAATCCATCCGAATTCTATTGACCATTACAGCACACTATGATTATGATATCTATCAAATAAACATGAAAATCGAGTTTCTCAATGACAACCTCGATAAGGGGTGTATGTGATATAGCCTAAGAGATTCATATCTAAGGATTGCCTATATAAGATGTGTAGGTTGTTTAGGTCCATTTATGGACTGAAACAAGCTTTCCGAAGTTGAAACATAAGATTTGATGAGGCGATCAGATATTATAACTTAGTTAAGAATGATGATGAATCCTGTGTATATAGGAAGGTAAATGAGAGTGTTATCAAATTTTTGGTGCTATATGTGAATGACATTCTAATCATTGGGAATGATGAAGAAATACTATCCATAGTAAATGTTTGGTTATCTAGATACTTCTCCATGAAAAAGTTAGGAAAAATATCATATATCTTGACTTATCCTAATCTACATACATAGACATCATTGTCAAAAGCGCAAAAGCGCAAATGGACAAATATCTAAAGCATGCAATCGAATTATAATCAAAGCGAATACTCATATGTTATTCTAAATTATATTTTAGTTACTATTTTTTTTCTCCTAGTTAATTTATCGGTGTGATTTATGAGTTTTGACGAAATGAAAGCAATTAAATCATTGTAACTTATTGATGATCATTGAAGCATAGTAGCAACATATGTTGGAAAGTCAAAATGAGGGAGGTGGGCCCTCCCCAAGAAGTCGGCAACACGGTGGGAGTCAACCATGTGAACCTTCGAACCGTAAGGTCCGGCTTGAACCCTCATCTTGCATGATTTGCCATGGGTTGGACTCCAGTTTGATTGGATTAGAGTGAGCATGCAAAATGTGTCACACATAAGATTGACCGATTCAAGCTTACTTGACGAGTTAGGCTTAAAATTGCCACCCCAATTTTTCGCCCAAATAGACGAATTATTCAATTCTTGAAGTGTTTCCACAGTCGAATTCGTTGTTGAATTTTGACCTTTTTTTTTTTTTGCAAGGGGTCAAGTCCACATTCGCAGTCTTGCTTACACCTCAAAGTCAACCCAAAGAGCAGATCAAGTGTTCGGTCAAAACTATCACGCATTCACGTTAGCTTACAGCCACGCAAAGGGTCAATCCTTTGATCTCTCTCTCTCTCTCCCTCTCTCTCCCCCTTCTTAACTGCATACAACACACATAAATCACGCGTTGACTCGGTTGGGTACTTTGAATCTCCTTAGCGGTCATATCCGCCCTTCTTCCCAATAAATACCTCATCATTAATTCGACCTCCCAACTGCAATCCGATCTCAATGGAGGGAGTAGAGATACCATCTTACTTCCTTTGCCCCGTATCTCTGCAGCTGATGAAGGACCCGGTGACGCTGTCCACCGGCATCACCTACGATCGAGATAGCATCGAGCGGTGGATCTTCGCCGCGAGAAAGACCACATGCCCGGTCACGAATCAGACCTTGCCGGACTGCGAGCTCACGCCCAACCACACCCTCCGGCGGCTGATCCAAGCCTGGTGCACCGCCAACGCAGACGTCGGCGTCGAGCGGTTTCCCACCCCGAAGGCCCCCGTTGACAAGGCCCAGATCGAGATGCTCGTCGGTGACGCCAAGCTGCCGCAGTCCCAGCTCGGCTCGCTGCGCAAGTTAAGGGCGTTCGTCTCAGAGAGCGAGCGCAACAAGCGGTGCGTCGAAGCGGCCACTGGCGCGGTAGATCTCTTGGCTTCCATCGTCGACCGCAACTCGAGTGGAGAAGATATTGATGATGATTGCTTGGAGTCCACCAGCGCTGCTTGTGATGAGGCACTCCACATTCTCTGCTCTCTTCAAATCTCCGAGGAGGGCCTCCGCGACCTCGTCGCAAAAAATGCCGGCATGGTGGAATCGTTGACGACGATACTGAGACGATCGAACTATAACTCGCGAGCCCACGCGACGCTGTTGCTCAACCAAATTCTTCGAGTCATGTCGCAGGATCAGCTGATCAATCTCAGCGACCAACTATTTCAAGAGATAGTAAGCGTCATACACGACCGGATCTCGCACCAGGCAACGAAGGCAGCGTTGCATGTCCTCGTCGACGCATGTCCACGGGGGAGGAACCGGATCAAGGCGGCGAACGCAGGCGCAGTCCACGTCCTGGTCGAGCTCCTCCTCGAAGAACCTGACCGGCGAGTCTGTGAACTGGTGCTCGTGGCGATGGACCGGCTTTGCGGGTGCGCCGAGGGGAGGGCGGAGCTGGTGGGACATGCAGCGGGGATCCCCGTGGTGTCGAAGAAGATACTGCGCGTGTCGCAGGTGGCCAGCGAGCGGGCGGTGAGGGTGCTGCACTCGGTGGCGATGCACTCTGCGACTCCCGGGTTGCTGCAGGAGATGATGCAGGTGGGAGTGGTGTCAAAGCTGTGTTTGATGCTCCAACTCGATTGCAACGTTAAGACTAAGGAGCAGGCAAGCGAGATCCTGAGGTTGCACTCACGGGTGTGGAAGACTTCTCCTTGTCTCTCTCCTCAGTTCCAGGTTTCATATCCTTCACCATACATACGTTAATTGCAGAGAGAGAGAGAGAGAGAGTGAGTGAGTGTGTTTTGCTACTCAAGTTCGTGTACATGAACAAAAGAGTTAATTGGCTTGAGCAGAAACAAAAACACACAGTTTTGTTGCTCAAGTTAATTGTTTGAAATCAATTTGAGATCTAATGGACAGAATGTTTTGACATGATTAGACTAAAGTCAAAATTGTTCCATGGAAACCAATGCTTGTAATAATTTGTTGACTTTTTTTGGAGCTTAACAAAAGCAATTTGGCTGTGGTATTCTTTTCCTAAGTTGACTGGATTAGTACAAACATCATGTTGTATTACTAAATCAATCATAATTGAAATAGTCAAATCACATTATATAAATTAATTTTTGATATTTTTATTGTATACAAATTTATATGCGAAGCAGCAAAGCTAAATGTAGGGCTCACTATGAAGGGTCTCATCACAACCGTCCATAGGATCATCACTTTTAATCTCAAATATATGCTTTCTCCTCAAAATTAGCGGACGGTTGGGATCAATTCTGTAGTCAGATGGATGGTGTTGATGAGATAATTCGTAGCTTCCTCGTACCCACAGGGAAGGTATCGGATTCGGATCCTATAATTACCAGGCCTTGCCTGACGCCGTTTAGGGATCTCGATGGGCGGTCTCCCAAGCTTCGCCTTTGCATCGATGGGCTCCACCCCTCGGCCACCGCTGGTCTACCACGCTCGCTTCCTCTTCTTCCCGCTTCTTATCTTCTTCTCCTTGCCCAGGTCGTGGGCGTTGCAGAACTCGCCCAGTGAGCTCCTGGAATCGGCTCGCGAGCCGGAGTTCTTCGATTGGTTGACGGCTATTCGGAGGCGGATCCACCAGCACCCGGAGCTCGCCTTCGAGGAGTACAAGACGAGTGAATTGATCCGGTCCGAGCTCGACGCCCTCGGTATTGAGTACGCCTGGCCGATCTCTGGGACCGGAATCGTGGCCTCCGTCGGCTCCGGCGGTGGCCCCGTCTTCTCTCTTAGGGCAGACATGGATGCTCTCCCATTGCAGGTATCGGTGAATACCTAGGTGGTTGAATTTGTATGCTTTATAATTGGTTTGTTGGGTATTGCTTTCTCACTGATTGGGCAACAACGAAAAAGACAGGGAAAATGGGTTAGTAGATGTTGTTGGGCATAATAAAATTGCTATACTTCCGAGCAGAATGGAATTGGCTTGAGTGAAAGAGACAGTGTCCTTCACGGAAATGGTGAATTTTATATTGTTGATTCAGGATAGAAAACATTGGGCTGAATGGACCGAAGTATTTTCATCTTGATTTCCTTTTCCTTATCTTTCATGCATAATTGAGCTAGAAATCTTCAAGCTCGGTAAGTTAAAGGCCACGGAAGGAAAGATCAAAATGCTTTTTTGAGCTACGAAAAGTTTGAGTTGGTGCTCAACAAAGTCCAAAACCTAAGGTATTGGATACCCTAATATATACTTTTATCACTCTACGTTTGAAAGAAGAGAAGTTTCACTTTTGTATGTCATGTATGCCCAAAATAGCCAGGGAACATTTACACCTTGTTTTTTAGAACAGTTTATATCTGTAACAAATTCTGGAATAAGCCAATGTTCCTTGCATCTGATTTTACATGAGCAATCATATCACATGTGTGTGTTTAGAGATGATATCTCTGCTACAAAAGTCTGATATTGGTTTTATTCCATTTGCATTTGGACCTACAATATTTTTAACTCTTAGTAGCAGCTGCTCAATGTATCCATCCAGCATATGCTTTTCCATATAAGGCCATGTGGGGGCATGATGCCATGCCAAATTTATTCCATCAGAGCACTAGGTTGCCTTTAGAACCCATGATGGCCAGTATTAGCAGCGTGCATAGTGCCAGCATGGGTGCATGCCACAAAGCTAAAACTTGTGCCATCTATATCGATTGGTGGTGTTTTCTGCACATCTCTCAATGGTTTCCTAGCACTGATCTGGGTTTAGTAGTTTATCTACTTGCAAATCTGCATAATTTCCTTTTATCAATCAACATTTTGACGTATGCAAGTTCTTTAATATATTTACTCTTGAATTTCTGTCTAAATAGATGTTCACACGATTGGTCTCTAGTAACCTTCGTCAACATTATAATATCCTTTAGTCTCTATTGTTGGTTTCTTCAAAACTCTGTTTATCAGTATTCTGGTGTTCATTTGGTTGTTGATACTGTAGTCCAAGGAATATATTTATGACAAGATTTCTAATCATTTATTATTCTTATCGTCTAACAGGAGCTTGTGGACTGGGAGTACAAAAGCAAAGTAAGTGGAAAAATGCATGCTTGTGGCCATGATGCTCATGTAACAATGCTTCTTGGGGCAGCTAAATTGCTTCAACATCGGAAGAACACATTGAAGGTATACAATGGACAAGTTATTATGATGATGTTAATAAATAATTTATCAAGAACTAGTATTAAATACATTTAATCTGTAGTTAACTTTATTTCTTGATTTTTTTATGAATGTATGTAAAATGCATTTGCATTTGCATTTGCTTTAAGTTCCAATCGAAAGCTTTCTCGAGTCTCGACACTAGTAATAATCATCATGGTCTATTCTGATGAAGGGCACTGTAAAGCTTGTTTTCCAACCAGCAGAAGAGCGTGGTGCTGGTGCTTATCATATGCTGCAAAGTGGTGCAATAGATGGTGTAGAGGCAATCTTCACTTTGCATGTTGATTCTCGCCTGACAACTGGTGCTATTGCTTCTCGACCTGGTCCTCTTCTTGCGGCATCTGGACGTTTTGTAGTCACGATCAAAGGAAAAGGTGGGCATGCAGCACTTCCACATCTAACAGTAGATCCTATTATTCCTGCCTCCTTTGCAATCCTCAGCCTTCAACTGCTTGTCTCGCGGGAGTCAGACCCACTTGAGAGTAGAGTGAGTTATTTGCTTTTGCTGATCAATTAGTTATTCAGAGCATTTATCACGAACAATACATTTTCACAAAATTAGTAACCCCCCTTTAATTTTGGTAATTTTGAAATCACGTAGTAGGAATTTTTTTTAGCCAAAGAACAATGGTCCTATGATGGTATGCAATTTGAGCGTGATAAAGACAGTGGTGATTAGTTGACGAACTTAAACTGGCAAATCGGTTATATGAAAATGTATTCATTTGTCATCTATGCAAATATTTATACCAAAGGTATCATACATCTCTAAATACACAGAAACACACAATAGCATTTTAGTCAACATTCTTAAATCATAGAGGCATCTAACTTCAAATTTTGGGATGTTGAAATGTAATCCTTGTAAAACTAGAGGAAGCATATATTCTGAGTTTGGCATGGAAAGAGTTTCTTATTCATGAGGCGATATATCATCACCCTACAAGTTCTTGCACCATAATTAATGCCCATTTGTATGCAGATTCATGTGAAATAGGCAGTAGTGAACAGTAAATTTTTTACTTTCAGGTTGTCTCTATTGGGTTCATGAAAGCCGGAGAAGCATACAATGTTATTCCAGAGTCTGTGACTTTTGGTGGCACATATAGGAGCATGACCACGGAGGGTCTCTTCGAACTCTCAAGAAGGATTAAAGAGGTGAGACAGACACTTACCATTCAGGAACCCAATCTCAAAAACAATGCTTTTTCTGCAGTTCCTTGTGTAAGAATGACTTGTTATTATGTTGGACACTTGCTTCTTATCCAACTGCCTAAACATTATTAACAGGTCATAGAGACACAAGCTGCCGTACACCGTTGCACTGCCACAGTAGATTTTATGGAACAGGAACTAAGACCATATCCAGCAACGGTGAATGATGAACGAATATACGCCCATGCTAGAAGGGTGGGGGAGAGCCTGCTTGGGAAAGACAATGTCCATGAGAGCCTACCAACCATGGCTGCAGAGGACTTTAGCTTCTTTTCACAACGGATGCCGAGTGCTTTGTTCTGGCTTGGAATAAAAAATCAGACACTGGGGCCAGGTTACCCATTGCATTCTCCCCACTTCTTTCTTGATGAGCAGGCACTTCCAATAGGAGCTGCTTTCCATGCGTCAGTAGCAAAGGCTTACCTGGACCACCACTCCACGGTGGTATAAATTCCAATTGGGCTATTATTTCTGATTTGTCCAAATTTTATAGCCACATTTTGTGAATCTAGTTTGCAGATTTGGATCTGAAACTTACATATAGGCTTTTGCATTGATTGGCTTTGTGCATAATGGTTACAGAACTACACACTGGCCATCTTCTGAGTTGAGTGCTTCACCTTCGGTGGAAAAGCTTCTTTGCCCTTTGCCCAACTTCAGACTGAGTTGCCCTTCTCTCCAAGATTGGCATAGTGGGACAGAAGCCTATGGACCCAAGCGCAGATGATAAAGGTGCCAATTAACTCTATCTACCATCTTAAAGTATGATGGTATGATTTTGTAATACCAGAATCTAATTTCTCATGGGAACGAATCATATTCATGCACCTTCACATTTGATATATCAGTATACTTTACAAATGATATCAGTATATTCATGCACCTTCACCTTCACATTTGATATTATCAGTATACTTCACATTTCATATTCATTCACCTTCAATTAAGATTCTGATGGATGGATATGCACATCTCAATTAATTGAAGGGCCGCAGTGTCGGCTGCTCCAATAATTCGACATATACGTATGAACAGACTTGATCAAGAATCGACACAATTTCTTCCATTGTTTTCGGCTCTCTCTCTCTCTCTCTCTCTCTCTCTCTATATATATATATATATATATAAAGAGAGAGACCTATACGCGATCTTAACGGATGCAGTACCCAATAAACCCTATCGGGTTTCGGATTTGAATTTATTCGGGCATGGTATGGCTACACCACTAAAGTTCCCAGCGAGGCATTCGAAAACCCGCCCTCATCTCTTGCGGTTTCGAGTCTCGCTCCTCGCTCGGCGATGTGGGGGAGCGCGGACGGCGGCGCTCCGGAGGTCACCTTGGAGACCTCCATGGGGCCCTTGACCGTCGAGGTTCTCCCTTTAATACTCTGTTTCCTTCCTCAGCTCTTCCTCTTCGTTCGATCTGTGCCCTCGGATCCCCCTCTCTCTCTCTCTCTCTGATGTCGCTCCTTCGGTGGAACGTAGATGTACTACAAGCACACACCGAAAACTTGCAGGAACTTCGTGGAGCTCTCCAGGAGAGGTTACTACGATGACGTCAAGTTCCACAGGATTATTAAGGTTCCCCCTCGCCCTTCCTTTGTCCCTAATGTAGCTTATTGAGGAAAAATAGAAGGAATTTTCTGCGACTATTTTCGCTAATTAGGTTATTTCTGGAGTAGGATTTCATCGTGCAAGGTGGAGATCCGACGGGGACTGGGAGAGGTGGTGAATCCATCTATGGGTTTGTTGCTATCTTGCTCTCCTTATGGACGTCGATGGGGTTTAGGGTTTTGTGCAAGTTTTCAAGAGGGAGTTATTTTTTATCTTGGTTGTCACTTGGATTTGCAAATTAGCAGCTTACTTTGAACTAGCGTGATTTTTGACGCATTGATAGTAAAAATGTGCTTTTGAGTTCATCCTTTGATTTCATGTTTAATTTGATTGTTTGTTTTTGCAGTCCTAAGTTTGAGGATGAGATCAGGCCTGAACTGAAGCATACAGGAGCGGGCATACTATCGATGGCAAATGCTGGTCCTAATACCAATGGGAGCCAGTTCTTTATTACTTTAGCACCATGTCAATCATTGGATGGTATGTAAACACGAAATACAAGTTTATTTCTGTTTTTAATTTCTTCTTATTCACTTGAGAAGAAATAATACCTGAAGTTGGTTTCTTTGCAGTTAAGTAGTGGGACTTTCTAATTTGATTGCATGTCACCGATATGCTGTTTTCTGAATTAATCAAGCTTTTACTTATTTTTTGCTTACTAGTTTACATTAGTGAAACTATATATTATGGTGAAATATTTGCATGGCTGCCTTTCTACTTGATATAAAATGGGTGATGCAGTTCCATATCAATGTCTAAAATAGACTTTGATTTTTGCTGTATTGCATGAGGAAACTTGAAAGTTCACATTTTGACCAATTGCTAGATACTCCAGGTTGAAAAATGTTTATTGAAAAAAATACTAAATCTATTAAAATCTATCCAGGTTGCTGGATCTTTTTGGTTTTTTCGATTTGTCTTGGCTACACGTGCCTCATTGCATGCCCTTCATATATAGAGCCCATATGTATAAAATAAGTGTAGGCTGGATAAGAGTCTACTATTCTTGAAATACCAGACATGTTTCCAAAGGTATCTATGAAGCATCAACATTTGACATGTACAAGGCAAACATTTAGAAGTGAAAGTGCTTCTTATGCTGCCTTTTGAAGCCTGCAATAATTTGAAAGATTGGAAATAGTGTTTCCTTGAGGAAGCTTTTGTGGTCAAATAGAGAATTAGGGATATGAAAGTTACATTTTGTCCAGAGCATGTCTCTTAAAAAAGAAGACTTAAGGAGACATGCTATTGTAAGATTTGTGTACTTGAAAAGGTTTCATGGATTATCTGGTACGTAAATGTTAAGATGTCATGATTAGACTGAGAAGTGCTTTTAAGGGTTTGGTGGTCCATATTATTATTTTGTTGCAATGATTACCACTTTTTTGGTTGTTAGTTCATAACAGTTTTAGATTAGCTCTGTCCTATCTTGTAAAAGCGATTGCAAAAAGTGCATAGAGGATACTGGAATAGAGTAGGATCCAAAAGAAAATTGCAAAAAATATGATAATGAGTGCAGTCTACTGCTACAAATGTACAAAAACGAGGATAAATATGAAGTATGCTCTGAAGAAGAATATGAGATAATCTTAAGTGGAAGAAAGAAGAAAATGTGTTGTCCTTCACCAAAGTTACAACAACCATTCTTTCCATATGATATTGTAATTTACAAAATGACTAATCTGTATATAAGAAACAGATAATAAAAATTATCAGCACCTAGATATCTTTTGTATATGATGACATCTTCACTAACTTCAGAGGGAGCTTTAATTTGGCATTACCTCATAAATGATCAGTTCTTCACTGCTGCAAGAAACTATTGGGCAACTCTTACTGACCTTTGAAACTATCTCCATGGTTAGCAATACATAATAAAGTGATAACATTCCAAAATGAGATGTGACCAATCTTTATGGCATTAAACATCATATAGGTTGTGGATGTTGTCCCTAATTTCTCAATGCTGCCTGAGGTCCTTTAGACTTGGTCATAAAGTTTTACACTTTTTCAGTCGCATACCATATTTCATGTAAAAGAGTAATTTTGATTTCTGTTTGCTGTTTTGAACACTTTTGGCTATGGCATGTGTAGATAATGACTGTTTACTGTTTACCATAAAGACCTAATTACAAATCTCAGCTCCTGAATGTCTGTCCGATGATCTTGCAGATCCCTGTGCTTTTAGATTCGTATATTCTTAATCCTATTCTTACTTTCTCTCAGCCTTCTTTTATCATTCAGTCATCAAAAGCGAGCATTGGAATTGTAGTTATATTACTATGTTAAGAATTTGATATGGTTGTGCTATGACTTCCCACAGGAAAACACACCATTTTTGGAAGAGTTTGCAGCGGGATGGAGGTTATTAAACGTCTTGGAAGTGTGCAAACTGACAACAATGATAGGTAAGTCATGAAGTGTACAGTATGGTATACTGTATCTGTTAGCATATATGTGCATCTCTGATGCACATGTTTTAGCATGCAAAATCAATAATCCGAAAGATAAGGTATTCAAAACAACTTAAAGATCAACCACATAATGTTTAGTCTAAGCATCCTGTTTCTCCAAAGAAGTTAATTTTTTCTGAACTATGAAGTGTGAAACGAACTAGCATGGCTGAAAACGTTGCAGGATTTTACACATGTTTTTCTTTAAATTGAGATAAGAAAAAAAAAACACTTTGCAGATGTAGATGTGCTGGATTTTGCATAAAAATATGCTTCAGAAATGTATAAGTTTCTGATGGCTGCTTCTGCAAAGTACCTAGCTGTGACGCTTACTCTGTACCAATCTTTATGTGAATAGAGTCTGACCAGCTCTATCTTTTACTTACCAAAGAATTTGATGCATCAACTAAATATGCCAACAAAATAGCCCATAACCCATGGGGATGTTTGTCTTCACAATTCTGTTTGAGCTGGTTGATGAGATATAAACTAATATTGTTGGGTTCATTTTTATTTGCACAAGCCAAATACCGGTGTCATTATATTAATTCACTTTAAACTAGAATCATGTTGTTTGGTGTCAAATTTTTGAGCTCGACGAGCTTCTTATTGGAATTGCAGAAGTAACTAGTTCAAATGAAGCTACAAAAATAAGGTATCTAGATATCAAATTTGAAACTTGGATTATCCATAGTTGTTTATGATAGTAATATCTATCATATAACTGAATCTTTGTCCGTTGATATTTGTTTCATTTTTCCACAATTTTAATCCAACCCCAGGTTTATATCTATTGTGCTTCTTTTTCTTATATATTTTTTGGCCGGCCATATCTTATATCCTCGTTGCTTTCTGCTGATTCAGGCCGATACACGATGTGAAGATACTGCGAACAATAGTCAAGGATTGAAATGCTAGTCACAATTAAAGACGTACTAATTAGTAAAACCATTTATTTCACTGAGCTTTGTTTCCATTTTGCATAAACCAATATTTCTATCTTTAGCTACTCAGGTACAAATTTGATTGTGTGGCAGTACAAGCCAAAAACTTCCACTCTGCTGTTTGAGAAAAGAGCAAGCTAAGATGTGTAAGAATCTTGTGTTAGTTGTGTCAAGAAACAATTAAGTATGTCGGATGTTATGATTTGGTAACCATTGGACTTGCATATTCTGTTGGATGGGCTTGATCTTGCTTTTCAGTAAAACAGGTGTTAGCAAGAACCAGTGGTTTGTCTATGTTTGTTTTCATCAGAGAGGAGCGTTACAGGTAAAAACATTAAATCCTTTTGAGACTTGGGCTTGATGTCTTCACAAGGACTAACGTAACTTCCAATCAAGTCCTAACATGATATATGTCGTGATGTTCTTCTATCTCGATTTATGAATTACTTTTTTCTACTCGTGTCTCCTATGATGCTCGATACTAAGTTTGATATCATTTTATCTTGATCTGATTTGATGAGATAAATTGACTTAAGTTGAGAAGTAGGCTACTAAAAATGCTTAGGCTTTTTTACATCAGTATATCCTTCTTATCCAGTGGCAGCACTATGTTCTTTATCCCTGCCGAAGTCTCTTCTTATAGGCCAGTCCACAAAAATGATCATCTCAAGCTCGGTCCACATGACTCCCCGCTCCTTATCCAGTGGCAGCGCCCATCGTGTGGCTCAACAGAGGTTATGAACTGCAACACCCAACACCGTACAATCTCCTGTCAGAAGACATGGCGACTGCTGCAGCGAAGTTGCTTCACTTCAGATGCCAGCTGATCCCGTCGAGACCATTCTGTTCCTCCACCCCCCGAGTCACCCTCGCCGCTGCTCTTCCTCTCTTCGGCTTCAGCTCAACAAAGCTCCAGAGAAGGGCGGTGGAAGCAGCCATCTCGCCACTCCGAGCTTCGTCGAAGAACGACGGCATCGTACAAGCCGATGACGACGGAGTTTCCCTGGGGACGATGAAGCTGCCTCCTGACACCGACGTCGCTCGATTCGAGACCCTTCTCTTCCAGGTAAACAGCTTACTTCGTGATGTTGCCAGTGGATGGATGTCAACGGTGCTTGCTTCGTGATGAACTGTCGTTGTGTGTGCAGTGGGCAAACAGTTTGTGTCAAGGCGCCAATCTACCACTTCCTGTTCCTCTCAAGGTCTGTCGATTTCCTCCGCAAGAAACCTAACGCTCCAGAATCTCATTCTCCTCGATAGCTTCGTGATCTGCTCACTGACAGTGTTGGAGTGGAAACAGGTGGACAAGGTGGCGGGTGGAGCCAGACTGGGTTTCATTAAGGTCGAGGACGGGAAGACGGAGGTGTGCGCGTACATCGACTGCCTGGTTGTTCCGGCCACCGACGGCTCCGGCCCCGTCTTCCGAGCCATAAGGAACGGACCAATGAAGGATCAAGTGCCGCCGGGGGAGCCCCGAATCATGAGAAGCCTCCTTCAGGCCCTCCAGACATCTGTGGAGATCGCGAGGATCTGAGAACCGGAACGCTTCACCTCGGATTAATCTTGTGGTCTGCCTTTTGCATGATGCCACATCTGTTGCCTCTTTGTTCTTCGCTACATGTATCGAAATCGAGCATTACCATAAAGCTCTCTTCCACAAAACCTTTAAATCAATCAACAAGGATTAACAACTTCATAGTGTTTCCATCATCTTGTCTGCACAAAAAGGATAATATGAGCTGTTGAGGAAGAATTCATGTTCATACAAAATAGTATAAACTAATCCATGATCGATGTATAATTTGTACACAAGAAAGATTGAAGTCCATTTACTTATCAAAAGCTTTTAAAGACATTTTCCAGAGAAGAAGAAATGGAATAGAAAAGGATGATGATGGCGGAAATGGGCCTTCGGATTGGGCTGGGCCTCGATTGGATCTCAATGCAGCCCAATAATGGTAATTTCGTAATTATGCTGCATGATGATAACCCTAACAGCCGAGGAGTCCTATAAAAGGCGCTCGTGCGTAGAGGTGCTTCTACTTGCACGCGGCGCGAGGGAGGTCGGCCAAGATGCAGATCTTTGTGAAAACCCTAACGGGGAAGACCATAACCCTCGAGGTCGAGAGCAGCGACACCATCGACAATGTCAAGGCCAAGATCCAGGACAAGGAAGGTACTGTCGGCTTTCGATCGATAGATCTCCACTTCTTTAAGTCGGTTGGATTGATCTCTATTTCTCATTACGTATGGGGCGTCGCTGTCGTTTTATTGTATGATCATTAGGGATTCCGCCGGACCAGCAGCGGCTGATCTTTGCGGGGAAGCAGCTCGAGGATGGAAGAACCCTCGCTGACTATAACATCCAGAAAGGTCCCTGAGTGCACCAACCGTTCTTTTCTCCATTTTGTTTTGATTTGTTACGAGATTCTACAATTTGTGGTTCCTTTGGGATTGTAATCTTGAAATTTGATGCGCATTTTCGATTCTTGTGGTGTTGTAACAGAGTCGACGCTGCATCTGGTGCTGAGGCTGAGGGGTGGGATTATCGAGCCCTCGCTTATGGCTTTAGCCAGGAAATACAACCAGGAAAAGATGATTTGCAGAAAGTATGTTCATCTTCCTCTTTTAATCTCTCTTTAAACTGTCATCCGTAATCTATTTGTGCTTTATTGACTTTCATTTGGATTATCATTCTCTGTCCCTTAATCTGTTTGTATCATGTGCTTCTCATAAGCAAACAAGTTATGTGAAACACGTACAATCTAGTATCTTTTGGACGGATTTTGTTCACCTTGCATTGGCTCTACTGCCGAGATCGTCATGGGTGAAACATAACATGAAGTTATTTTAGCATAAGATTTGGAATATTCCAAAGGGTGATGTGCTTTTAAGGTATTGGTGATTGGGTGATACTTGTGGTGATTCTCCAGAGTGTACAAACACCCATACTCTTGCAAATGATTTTTTAAATTCCATTTAGCTTTAAGAAGCACACAAATGCAAATCATTTTTTGTTTCGAATAACAATGACATAGTTAGTTCCTTTCTTATTTTTGATGCTAGTGTTACTAAATATCCTCTTTTACTCCTTGATGTCATTGGATAAACAAATTTATAAAACTTTACTGGACTTGGGTGTTAGATAAACAATCCTTTATTTTATCTTGCAAGCAAGGTGTATTTCAAGATCAATTGGACTTGGGTGCCATGGTTTTTGTGATCATACTATGTCGTAAGATTATGGTTGCAGTGTCAATAGCCTGGTTCCTCATGTCTATTGTTATAGTTACGAGCATTTGTCTTTCCTTAGTTTCAATGTTCATATGATTACCAATATCTATTATGATTACCACATTTCTTTTACAAAGAGAATTCTTATTAGATTTGGATGTCTGGATGGTGTAACTCGTTTCTTCCAACTTGTTTGTGGTTTGGAATGTTTCATTTTTCTGATTTCCCTTCCCTTTTAAACAGAGTTATTGTGCTTTTTTTCTAACTAGAAACTAACAATTATTATGTGCTCATTCTTGCTATCTGCCTTTACTAGTGCTTTGTATGAAGCTTAATATGGTAGGCATGATGAATCAATTAGATGTGCGAATAGAAGTTTTCTCATGTGCTCACCTTTTGAGGCATATTAGAATTCTAACCTGCCAAATAATATCAAAGTATCTTTTTAATTAAGGTATAAAACTACTGCTTATTTCATGGTTGCAACTTTTTTTTTTATCTTAAATTCATGTTGTTCTGGATTCAGTGTTTCATTTTTGTTTAACTTTGCTGTGAAACTGATTTCCCTTCTCTTTTAGACGGTTATTGTTGTTTTTTATTTAACTGGCAACTAACTATTTTTATAGGCTGAGTTATTTTTACCTTTACTAGTGCTTTGTATGAAGCTTAATATTGCAGGCATGATGAATCAATTAGATGTGCGAATAGAAGTTTTCTCATGTGCTCAACTTTTGAGGCATATTAGAATTCTGACCTGCCAAATAAGATCAAAGTTTTTTTTAAATTAAGGTGTAAAACTACTGGTTATTTCAAGGTTGCAACTTTTTTTAATCTTAAATTCATGTTGCTGTT